ATATATATATATATATATATATATATATATATATATATATATATATATATATATATATATAAAAGGGGGCAAGAAACAGGTGTTTATTGAATGTATAATTATTTTTGGGTGAAGGACAAGAAAAAAAGTATGAAGAGCTTATTATTATTCATTACTAACTGTTGATTGGATTAAATACACAGTATTTAATTCATTACTTCAACAAGCATTTCCTGAGTGCTGTGTTCCTGGTATGATGGAAGACAACAGCAATATACAAATGAGAGATAGTCATGACTCCAGCCCTCACAAGGCTTAAAACCTAAAGAAGAGAATTGGGCTGGCTGTTCTGTTTGCTTTCCTTTCCTGTCATTCTCCTCTTTCCTGTAGAACTTCCACTTCTGCTGATTATAACCTCTGGCTTGCAAACAGACTTCTGGTTGAGTTCTAGTTGGCTTCTTGGGAGGCCATAGAGGAGGTCAGAAGGCATAAGAAAAACAAGTCTCTTTAGCTGTGTTCTTGTGGCTCCAGTGATTATAGCCCCTGCTGAGTAGTCTTTGGCCTATTTCAACACTACCTGATTCTGGTATCATCATCTCCTCCTCCCTTATGCCTTCAGGCTTAAAAAGTGATACCAGAGTTCAGATACACACAGTCTACATATACCTTCATTTCTCTTTTTGGTCTTCTTAACCCTGCTCACAGATCTCCACCTTGACCATTTCCTACACTCCATTGAACCATCTACATTGGATCTTGTTTCTAGCTGCATTGTTGAGTTACAGGAAGTTTCTAAGTGAGGATATATATGTATATATAAATAAAAACATTAATATTATATCTATATAATTATATTAAACTTTATGAGTGTGTGTTTATATACATATAAATTATATATATCAATATATAAATAATATATATAATCACATTAAGTATTATAAAGAAAAGAACCCAAGTATTTTCAGAGAGAATAATGAATGTGAGTTAGATAAAGTAGTTACAAATGGCTAACATGTTCACAGCTGGAGCTGGGATTGTGGCTCAGTGGCAGACTGCCTGCCTCCCTTGTATGAGGCACCGAGTTTGATCCTCAGCACCACATAAAAATAAATAAAAAAAGTAAAAGTATTGTGTTCATCTACAACTAAAAAAAAAATTTTTAAAAAATGTTTACAGCCTCTTTAGAAGCTTTTATCGCAGTGGAGGCAAGAGAGCAGGTGGGAACCACCATGGAAAAAGAGGCGGGGGGAGTGTTCGTAGAAGAGGAGACATCAAATGAAAAAAACATGAGATAAAAAAAAGGTTCAAATGCTCCATTACAGAATTTGATTATAACACTCCTTTGAGAAACCAGTGTCCTTTATATTGATTGAAGAAACTCTTATGTTAAAACCTGTCTATGAAGACACACTGAGAGGAAGAATCAGCCTGGGGTAACATCTTGCCCAATATCTAGTGCCAGATACTGAAGTTCTCAGAACAAAGGCCCTCTAGAGCACCATGCATTCAGAAGGAAGCAGCTCAGAGGAGCTGTGAGAACTAAACCAATGCTCAGCCATTAATTTGAGGTTGCTGGGATCATGTTGGGACTCGATGATGACCCACTCCAACATGATAACATGCTGTAAAGGAATTAAGGCATGTCAACATGTTATTTCTTTGATCTTGTTTATTTTCAGGAGGGTGGCAAGTTATTCCACAGATAGTGACAGCCTTCTTTTTTTCCAGATCTGTGATATTTCACAGGAAGAATATCAAATGAACAATAGAGTCCTTCTTGACATAGGTGGTATGTGTCTTTTACCCTCCCTTGTACTTATTTAGTTTTGGGAGAGAAGGAGTAACAAAAGAGGAGTGGAAAAGTTGAAGAAAATAAAGTATTAAAAGAACATAAGTGATTTAACTATTGGATCCTATCTAGAAGGAAAGAAACTTTAAGCATCAATTTACTAAGCACATTTCAAGTCTTCCCAAAGCAACCAAATCTAACTTATTAAATAAGCTTGCCTGGGGAAATATTCTATATTGTTTTTTTTTCTCTATAAATCTAGTTTTCTAATTTGTTTTACAATATGACCTCTCTTTGTTTGTAGCTTTAGTACAAATTCTGGCATTTAAGAATTAGTTAACTGCAGGATATATAAAAACCTTTGGCATCAAGTCAGAATATATTATTTTTGCATTTATCAGAATTAAGCACCTTATGTGAGATATTTTTCCTGACACTACACCATGGAGAAATGGTAAAGAACAAGACTTTCAAGGTATTATTTAATATTATGCCCTTAACATTATGCCTTTGGATTTAGGAAGCTTCCTCAGATATCTACCTAAATATCTTCTAGGCTCATTTTAATTCCTTAAAATATCTTTCTAGTTATGGGCATCATTTTCTTAAAAGAGAGGCTGTATGATAACTTATTTTGTCTTTGGTCTATTATGAACTTGTTCCTATTTACATTTGAGAATTGCACTGACATGTTATTTCAGTCAGTCTTAAAATTAAAACAAATGGTGTTTACTATATTTATCCTGAAACCTCCAGTTAATAGCTGAGTTTCTTCTGTTTACTAATATTTTTCTCACCCACAGGCTAACCCTACTGCTATAAACACATTTATGTAGCATGTTTTATCTCCAAGTACTTTATAGTTATGATATGGGAGTTAGCTCAACACTACTGAAGCTAAATGATTAGTAACTGACAAATGCACTTATGCAAATTATAACTATATGATATAGAAAAGACCCTGAGGTCTTATCATAAAAAAAAACACTATTTAAAATAAGTTATAATACTCTAATCAAATATGTTCAAAATTCCACTCTTGCCTCTGATCCCAATACCTATACTGTAAACATCATTGACAAGTGACAATATATGGTGGATTTAAGTCCTCAGAAATAGAATCAATAAGTATAGCAAACATTAGAGTGTGATATATCTCTGTCTGTCTCAAGGAATGATAACAAATTGTGCATATCATCAGCTTGTGTTATCATGATGTTATTTCTGGAGATTCTGAAATAATCTAAGTATTATCCTTATAATTTCTGTACCATTTTCATAATCTACATAATTTACATCCTATACATGAGAAGCAGACAGTACCTTTTTCTTTATACTCCTCTTATTTGGAGCATTGCTGAATGAAATTAAGGATAATACTGAAATATAAGGCATGGAGGCAAAGAAAAGTGAAGCTTGTCTTTAATTTAGAGAAATTTCCTTTTTGTTAAAATGACAAAATTATATACATTGCAGTCCACAGAAATGACTAGGAAGAAAATTATAATTGGCTACTTTGCCAATTCTCATTTGTCCTTCTTTTTGAAAAAATGTATAGCAACTATGGGGCTTCTGGGAAAAGAAAATCTAGCAAAATAAATGATCTGAAAAGATTTGTCACATTTTAATAAACAATTGTGTCTAATTATAGAGGAATATGTACTTACTTGCCAAGTGCAAAGCACTCCATCTTAACAGTTGTTCCCCTAGCAGCTGTAACCGTGAAAGGAAAATGCACCTCAATTTTCGGCTCATATTCTCCCATCACACCTGGGAAATAAAGAATAGTCTTTAAGCATAAAATGAATGTCACAATTTCTTTTCAATCTTGGAGATGTTATACTGAAAATCACTGTGGTTTGGTTGCTAGTGTATGTTTGATGACTATTAAAATTTTTGATGCATTGAAATAAAAAGTACACTTAGGTACAATCATTATGATGAAATCCTGCTCTTCCCTTAAGGACTGAGTTACGTGCCTGTTCAAGACCATTTAAAGTGATAATTATTGAAAAGTGTTTATCAACACTGGTAATTCACTTACTGAATATTCTCTAAAGTAAATAATTATGACCATTTCCAATATTAAATAATTGTGTTGATTTTTTAAAAAACAAAGACATCAGAACTTTATCATTGTCAAGTTAATAGACATTTATGAATCAGAGACTCTGTGCTTATTAGAAGAAATAGTAGGCCCAACTCTCCATCATGTCGGCTTTGAACCAAATTCCTCAACAAGACTCCTAAAGTGCAAGTAGTAATCAAGAATCTATAAATGGATGGTATGAAACTAAAAAGCTTCTTCACTGTAAAGGTAACAAAGAACATGGACAGAAAGAGCCTATAGAATGGGAGAAAATCTTTACCACATTCAATTCAGAGCATTAATCTCCAGGTTATACAAATAATTCAAAAAGATTAGTACCAAAAAAAAAAAAAAGCCCACAAATAACTCAATCAATAAATGGGCAAAGGGACTGAATAGGCACTTCACTGAAGAAGAAATACGAATGGCCAAAAAATGTATGAGAAAATGTCCAGGTTAATTTTCTATGTATGTTCCCCATGCTATTAGGTTGATCATATTATCTGAAATTATTTTTCATGAATTTAGTTGACTTTCTATTCTGCCTCACAAACTCATTCATTCCTTTATTGGTGGTGATTAAATGAAACATAAATCTTCAAATATGTGTAATGATGGGTCTTTACCACATTCCACCAAACCTTCCCCTTCAGTTCAAGATACTTTCTTTTAAGGAAGTTGGAAACTTAGTCTCTAGATCCATATGTTAATGGTTTTTTTAATTTGTTCTTTTTAGATATACATGACAGTAGAATGTATTTTAAATTGAAAATCTACAGATATTCAAGTATAGGAATAGAGCTATGTACACATTTGGGCATTCCTAAGAATAGTTATAATTTGTATAAGTAGGAGAAAGAGAGGACAAAAAGCAAATAGTGTGCTAGAAACAAAGAAAAAGAGATGGAAAATCACCATAATTGGAATATTATTTTTTTCTGGCATGTGGGTATATGAATAAAAATGATATAGGATAAATATGGAAGTATAGCTAGAATCTAAATAGAGGGCCTGGATTCTCACAGTAAAACATTTATACTTCAATCTGCAACTTGTTTGGAGCCACTGGGGTTTTGATTAGAGGAATGGCATTTTGCTGAGAATTAGAGCAGTCATAGGTTAAGTCAATTAGATTATTTCCATATTCCAAGATAGAAGCAATAAAGGCCTGGATTTTAATGATCAGAAATGTTACTAGATGAGAAATATCAAGAAAGAATTGAACTTGCCAAACTTGGGACAGAATGTGAAACAGGAATTAGGGTGTTGGCAGTGTCACTAGGTTTCCAGCTTGAGGGGCTGGGTGATGTCAGTAAAAGAAAAAAGAAACACAGCTACAGTAGAGAAGTTGATTACTTTAACTTTGAAAGACATAATAGGTACTCAGGAGCAAGTGTTGGTCCACATGGTGCAAACAAAGGAATGAAACTAAGAATGGGTTCCACAAAGATGATAAGCACTTAGTGTCATCATTTAGAGCTAGCCTTTAAAGTTGTGAGATTGGATAGGGCATTTACCTACTCAGAGTCTATGCACTAGCTGAGGCCTAGTGGATTCTGGTGCTAAGGCTATCAGGTAACCCTGGGGCTATTTATCTCCTAAAAAATAAGTTTTTGATCTCCCTTTGTGTAAAGCACCAGAGAAAGAACAGTATAATTTAGCATGGATGCTGTTGTGAGGAGACTATGTTCAAGAGTGTTTATATCTAGGAATACATGCATGTATATGTTGTTGTATATACATATATACATGACTCTCACTGTAATTTTTTTTGTGTGTGCATGTGTGTAAGATGATATAAGACATGAAGGTAAGATAAACCTGACATACAAAGGAATAGAGGGTAGGTGTGGCAAGGAAAATCTTGTATATATTTGTTTCCTATGTAGTATTTGATATAAGCCTTGAAGAAAGAACCTGGACAGCTTTAGATGGGGACTATTCAAATAATTCAAGATTATCTGTGCTTTCCATTCTAGTTTCTTACAAAGCAATTTCAGCAGAGAAATTATCAATACTGTCTCTTACACAGAGACTAGATTTCTAGGCCTGGCTCTGCTAATGATTAGACTGCTTTATCCCTGACAGTCCAGTGACCTCTGGACTTCATTTTTCTCATCAGTAAATTGAGGGAATAAATGGGAATTATCATTAACATAACATCCTGCTTTAATGAGCTGACTCTCTCAATTGCTTCTTTTTCTAATGTTTGCTGCACATCAGGAACCTGATAAATAGCAAGTGAATTGAGTGCTTAGCACTATCCTATCACTCAAAACAGATGTTTAAGCACATCTTCTCTATTTCTTTTTCAATAATGTTCTACTCTTCTGCTTCTCTTTTTTCCCTCCAAATCTCTCTCCCTGCCACGCTTTCCAACTTCTTTTATGCCCTCTTCATGTTCTCTTTCTTTCCCTCCTGTCTCTTCTAGCTATTAGAGCAGCAGGATTTAGCCCACTGGTGATACTTATAAACTCGACTGAGTATATCCAGTGGTGTGAAGTTTGCCTTTGATTCCCTCTTACTTATAAGCCCCATATAAAGACTGCTAAGCATCCTATTCAGTAACTATCTTTGCTCAAATGAAACCATCTTCAAAGTCAGTTTCTGGATTCCCCATCCATTTGTAAAATTGGTTCTGTAATGTCCTCTCTTTTCTTCATGATGATTCAATACCAACTGATTTATAATGATGCTTATTAAACCTAGGCCTCCTACTGGCAAGTGTCCCTGTGCTGGAAGTTAGAGTGTCACCGAGTGCTGGAGAAAGGCAGTGGAACTTGGTTCAAATTTAACAAAAAAAATTCTGTCATTATTCTACTAAATTGTTCAAAAAGCTATCAGAGCAAAAGGACCTCAATCTCCAAAGCACCAGTAATTTGTTCTGATTTCTTTTACCCACTTAAATAAATATTTCTTTAAGAACTCACTTTTACATTAGCACATTTGTAGTCATTCTATTAAAGCAGCTGAAATAAACCTATATATTAAAACAAAATGAAAAATTTGACTATAAAGTTTAGATTAAAGTACCTAATTTGAGTTGCGCTGCAAGAAATTATAGTGCTTCTTTTTAATTTTACTTTGAGAGCAATAAGTACAGGTGAGCATATTCTGTAGGTACGTCTTATTATTTAGCAATTGATCACATTCAGCAATTAAGTTTTGTTTTATGTATCATGGGATAATTATGTTAGAGTTAAAGTTGACCTGGTCAAGGTTTTGTGGTTTATTATAGCTGTACTTTTTAATGTTTCAAGTCATATGCATCTTAATTTACAATTCCTTATGCTAGGTAGAGGTTGCTGCTGAAAGAAATGGGAAATAGTCCCAGGAGACACCAGATTGAAGATCAAAATATGGGACTTGTCTCTTCAGTTAAAAATGGCTCTTTGGTCTTTGATTATGGCTAGGATTGGCCTGAACATTGCTCAAGAGACCTTGCATTGCATCTTTAAGTCTTTTTCCATACCTGTCTCTCCTGACTTCTCCTTACTTTTTTCCTGATTGACTTGCTTGCCTCACTTCAGAATTACAGGCCATTAAGAAATGACCCCAAGTTATTCTAATTCCTAATAAACAGAATCTTTCCTGCTGAGAGTACATTACTTTTCTTCAATGTCTTTATGGTTGTTGATTTTCTTACTTATTCCAATTACTCACAAAGATCCAGGGTGCTTTTCCCTAAGTGGAATACAATTTAGAGCAGTGATTTACCAAGCATATTACAGAACAAAGAGCCAACAACAACAGAAAAATCTGGACAAGTTATTATAATTTTAGGATGTAGGGTCCAACACTAAGCCTAGTGAAGTTTTCAAAGGTGGGCTATGAATTCTATATTAAGATTGTTTTTCAGGGTGATTTTATGTACATAAAAGGAAATTCAAAGTTGGATCTTCTTTGTCTCTAATTTTTATCACGATACTTGACATTCTTAGCATTAGAGTGTGGCAGACTAACAGGCTTGCAAAAATAGCACACACAGGGCCTGAGAGCATGCATGCACTGGTAACTTCCCCTGGCATTAGGGCAAATCATGTTCAACTCTTAAAGTTCTGGTACTCCCACTGAGCTTGCTTTCTTCCTCATTGGTTGAGTGGTCTGTCCTAAATTTTTGGTGCCTATGCAAGAGCAGTTGTTACATATTTCAAGAGACACTTCTGAAACACATAATCATATTCATTTCTAAGGTCAAAAACTCATGCTTAGTAACTTTTAAAAATTTGGCTGAACTAATGAGATGGAAAGATCTGGTTTGTCTTCTTTATGTCCAAATAATGGGTATTTATGTTTTTATCTTCAACATTTCTGCCAAATATATTCAACACATTTCTTGTCTTCCAAAAATAACAGCTATTTTCTTAACACTTCTTTTAGAAAATTCTGCTTCCATCTTCTCTAACTGGTTGAGTTGAATAGGAGCCATTATACTACTGTGTGATTTCCTTCCTGATGGTATCAATTAACTTATTGTGGGCACCTGGCATGCAAAGCTACCTTATTGTTCTGTGGCACAATGACTGAGTCAGATGGACAGTTAAGGTTGGAATTTTTCGACCAAGGACCAGGGAGTTTAAGTGTCTTAGTTTGTTTTTGGTGACACACACACAGAAAAGCCAGCATGTCTGAGGGCCATGAGAACTATATTCTGTGAAAGAAAGTAATTTTTTATTAAAGA